AAGTACGTGCGAGGACAGTCGACCTCGATTGCTGCGTTTGCAATCTCAACTGTTCGAACTTGTCTTCTTGAAGCTTTCCTTCTCCCCCCCCCCCCCCCCTTTAACTTCGCGGTTTTTTTCTTGACTTTGTTCGTCGTTTCGTCTCGAAAGTCTGCCTTCTTCTGTCGTTGGCTGTCACAAAATTTCTCCTTGTGATCAGTTTTTCTGCACTTCTTGCAGAACAAGGGTTTGGACTTACACTAATGTGCATAGTGATTGCCCTCGCAGTTCCAGCATTCGCTTACATTCTTTTCTACGATTGCTGCTTCGAGCGTTTTCGTACATCCTGCCATAATCTCACTATCTCTCCTAGGACTTAGGAAGTTTTCTTATTCTTGATGCATAGTGTAAGAAACGCTTCTCCCAGCTTTGTGCTCTTTATCGAGTATTGCGATCAACCTTTGCCTGATCTCTGCCTCTTGCTGTGAATTCAGGCCAAAAAACCACAGAAGACGTTGTTTGATTCCATCTGAGTCCATTTCGTGAGTCTTCGCCTCTTGACAGAATTCATTCACGCGGCCAGTATACGTGAGATAGTCTTCGGCATCGTTCTTCTCCAGCTTAAGGCAGCTCGAGAATCATTTCGAAAAGCTCATTTCAGCTTCCGGGTCCAAAGTGAATTTCTCGACGCGGTTGCTCAAGGCTGCCATCACATTTGGGAGTGCCAATGGTTCTTCTGCCCTGCGGACCCTCTGATCACGCTATGGGACGCTGTCGACGACCCTAGCAATGATGCCCTTTTGCTCCTTCATAACTGTTGATATCATTGATGACATAGCACTCCTTTGCTCCTCCATGGGTGCTTTAAACATCGTTAACCCATTGACGACCATGCAGTCCACATGTGGACTGCACGTTTTCGGCCACGTGGGACCGTGCAGTCCACATGTGGACTGCAGTTGTATTTCTTGTTTAATTCATTTATATTTCCATTTTTTTACAGTTTTTCTTCTCAGAACATTACATCAGGTCTAAATAAAACTACATACAACGTGGTCCTAGGAAACCTTCTAATTTTGCAACTTTGAAGTTAATAACAATAACCACAGGCATAGGCATGCATAATAACCAAACAGAAATCAATCAGGGAGTACAAATTTTGTGTGATTTATTGAAAGAATCAATGCAGAAATAACGGTGGCATTTACTGCAGCGAGAGT